TCTACTAAGAGCACGATGCTACCCAAACTAGAATATACTAAGAGTAAATGAAAGCTAACAGCGGGACGTCAATAACAAAAATCGGATTTGCGCGGCAACGCCTAGTGAGAATCTGGATTATTCTTTCATCTAAGGGTCATGCATGCCAAAGGATAAATGAAAAATGTCTCAAATATTTAAAAGTGTCTCTACTATACCCTGGCTTCAATGTGCACGATCGTCTTGTCAGATGAGGTAGGCGATGAAAGGCCCTGTGGAAAAATACAAAGGTGAAAAGTTCAGAACGCAAGGTTACACACCTTTTTCGTCATGCTGTTTATGTTTGACAGGTACTGAAATGCATTCACATGGAGGAAGCATACAAGGTAAACGGTAGTAAAAAGGGCGGAAGGTAGTGATAATAATAATAATAATACTGAATTCGATCGATTCGTCAACTAAGAGTCCAGTATGAAGAAAATACTCAGGGTGACGCTTAATCCTATATCCAGTCTTCGTTAAAATATGATGATAGGGAATGACAGGCATAGATGGAGGGCATGCAGGTGGTCTCCTGAAGAGAAACGACACTCAGTAGCAGATAATTTTCGATTCTTTCAATAATGCTAACGATTTTTCTCTACTCTAGAAAGTGATTGGTTTGTGCTGGGAAAAGTCAAAACGTCTCTGTTTGACCAGATTGAGACCCCTTTAAGAAGACGTTCAAGTCAAAGATAGGTTACGAAGGAGAGATAAGGGAATGATTAGTGGTAAAAAGGCACTGTAGGACCAACAATTCTAGAAAATACGAACACCGCAGGAGCCCATGGAAAGCAGTCAAATTATACTAAACAGCACAAAGATTAGATTTACCCAAATCCTCTTATTACTTCTTGCATGAAGAAAAAAGACATGATAAACAGTGGACAGCATGAGGTCTGAATTACCGGCTTTTCAAGTACGGGGCCACCCCCGAACCCTTTATAGCCTGCTCCTTCGCCGAAAAGTGAGTCTACCAATTACTTTTCTAGTGAGCAACGAGTAGCCGAAAACAGTTAGAGAACAGTAACCAACTACGTTTAGACGCTCTGTCCACAAATGCTTTTCCGTACCGAGGAGCTGGAAAAACTGTCATCGCCGGCAGGGAAAACAACTTAAGCCGACTCCTTTCAATGTAATAAGGTTGTCGTCGAGGCGACCTTGTTATCCAATTAGATCTGGACTGAGCAAATTGGACCAAAATTAATAAGGTGGAAGGAGACACTGACAAAGTCAGAAGGCAAGTCGTGGTGATGAGTCAGAAGCTGTATGAAACAAACCGTTATCCCACTTATCCAATCAAGTGACTACAGTCCGGATTATAAATTAGGAAAGATGAACATCACGATGACAGAGGGTGCATTTAGCCGATGTTACGGAAGATTTTTGTCGGACGACTTGGGTTGCGATATCCTAACATTTGAATCAAGTTATACAGTATGAGACATGTGCAAATAACGATCTGAAACACAATTCGCCTCCTTTCTCAGTACAAAATACCTATTTTGACAACAGAAACAGTTTCGGATGCCCTGTGATTCATTCCATTACCCCTCCGACTTTGATTTAATTCTAGATAGAACAAGTAAACGCTGAGAGGTGTGGTCAATGATAGCTTGTGGAACCACTAGTCAAGTACTTGAGTAAAAAAATGAGGTCGCTTACAGCATGAACACTGTACAGTTGAAACGACTTTCGCATACAAATTAAATACAGGAATCCAGACATATAAACTGGGGGGTTGAGAACGTAGACTACTGGTAGAATATGCATTGCGGACGCGCAGAAACTGAAACACTGCACTTTGACGAGAGGTAGCTAAATATTTGAAGAAATTGTCTGCAAAAAATACTGCAGAAAATAAATGCATACTCCATCCTGCAAATTTGCCGTACGAGCAGAAACCAGTTGAGCGGTCGACGGGGGCGCAGAAGAGGAGAGGGCTGTTACGTTAGACCGATAAAAGGCCCAGCAAGGGTGGCAGGAGACACAATCGGGTTTTACGACCAATTTTTACCCTTATCCGTCTTGGCTTTTTATTATTAACAGAGAAGGATGGACCTCATGGGAGGTGGATGCGACGCAGATCTCCATTACTACTCAATCGAGAGTGTTTATTTGGCATAGAGTGCCTGAATGTGTAAGCCCTCCTGGACACTGGCAAACAAAATTTGAGTGGGTAGTCTTCCTTAGTACTTAGATGCTTGCTAACTGTCACGGGAGCAACTTTCACTTTACCTGATGTTACAGTAGCTTGCGCAACTTTTCTGACAGATGCGGTGTGACGATCACTCTGTCACAAGAAACGAACCATACATTGCTGGTATATGAACCAACGAATGGCCAGCTAGCTTACATGTGACTGAGGGGACATTACCAACATCGCTGTTGTCCTGTTGACCAGTGCGCTTAAGAAATCAATCCAGTTGTCAATATTGACCGAAGCAGTACCTCACCAATATTTCCCGATTCTTGCCGAGGATAGGAGTGACCAGAGGTCGCCAGAAGACTCCTCAAACGATCACTTTAATGTTAACTAAAGGTCTGGTTTGTGATGGAACAAAGGTGAGGATGTTGGAATTTGCTGACTAGAACCGGCTAGCCGTCACTTACGCTGCTGCCCTGGTACACAAACGATAGGCATACGACTAGCCAGGTCCTTGTTTGCAGTCGCCTTAAAGTACACGGTTCATCTGCACCAAACTTGTCAAGTGCAAGACGCCTTACTG